AGCTCCGGTTCTCCCATTAACTTAGTTGGAGTATTATTCCCTTTTCAAGCATAAATGGTAGAAAAAAGACGCTGCTCGCATCAGAAACCCCGCAACCAATCGCACGACCCACATCCGTCCATCGCCCAAACACGGCAAACACGACTGGAGTGGCATCTCCCATCTTGACACCCAGTAGGGGAGCAGGCCGCAGACATCTGCATCAAACAGACAGGATTGATCAGGAATTTGCATTTGGCCACGAAGGTAATTGGGGAATCGGCGATGAGACATGCGAGCGAGATTGAGTGGCTGATGACTGACGAGTTAGGTGAGTGGTTGCTGGCATTGCCTAAGAAATCTATTTCCATTTTCCGTTTCCCGAAGATGGACATCGCCACTAAACATATCAATGTCACTCGGAATAAGGTGAGGCACAGTGCTACCTCCGCCTGTCCTTTACTAAAAATTTTCAAAGTTGTTCCAATTACCAACGGTCCGGGCTTTGGACCCCAAATGGAAGGAAAGGGGGATGAAGCCTACGATACGAGCTTTGAAGGCGAGCTCTATAAGAGCACACTGTTAAAGTTGACGCGGTCCCCACGACTTTAAAAAGCGTTGCATTGTTGATATCCTAAGAAACAGAAGTATACACACGTATTCACACCCCAAGTGTCCGAACCACCCTTCATCCACCATCCGATCAGCATTTCCCAAGGTAATTCCCTACGAAATCTTTGAAAACATTTCGATAGCCTTGTTTCAACTTATCACAGGTGCCTATATAGCACTTCCCAAAAAGAGTGGGATTGTCAAAGAAGGCTACCGGTATTAGACCAGTCGTGTCAAGCTAGAGTTGCCTTAAACGCAACATAGTCTACCAGACCATCGCCCGCTGAAACTGCATTTTCAGCACCTCTAGCGATTTGCCCCCCGCCTCGCCTGCCGGAAGACCCTCCATTAATCACCCACCGTTCGAAATCGAGTGACTACGTGTGACTGCAGGTGCTAGAACCATATGCAAAGGGTCCCTGGGGGCTGAATATTTTCCGAAAACAAGTAATTTAGGATCGCAAGTGCACACACAGAGGGCCAACCGGCACTTGAGCTTGGTGAGTTGTCACAACCTGCCCTCGGACGAAGATGAGCAGATGGGCGGACTGACGCCCAACCTTCTAATAATCAGGGATTTTTCCTGGCTACCGATACCACAGCCACTACACCTGTGGTTTGCCGAGGCGGAGAACAATATCTAGAAGTAACCGGTAGGCCTGAGAAACCTAAGGAGGGAAGCCCCCTCTTCACATTCGCACAGACCGTGGAACTCCAGGATACGTACAGGTGGTGCGATAAAATATCATGCGAGTAATGAGAAATGGACAAATAAACCCCATAAAACAAAGCTCAGCTTCATTGTAATGTGGAAGTGTCTGACACTCTTCAGCCGTCCATTCAAAAACCACACTCTCATTATACACGGCTAAACCTACCCCCTCATTACTACACTGATATCCTTTTGAAAGCCCGTCCGGGCGTGATAACGGCACGCCGGCAGCAATTTGTTCTTGGCGGTGGTTTTTTTCTCTTTCTTTTGAAGATACGTTTCCTCCCCATATGGGCAAGTGGCCGAAGCCCGGGAAGCGGCCCAAGGGTATGACTATGACCATCAGAACGGCTAGAGCGGTGGCATTTCCTTAGCCCGACTTCCCAATAGGTGATAATCCAATCCCCTCGAAGATAAAGCGCAGCTAGTAAAGTGAGATATACAGGCAAGTTCATATCTATATATTTCGGGCTATCCTCCGAGAAGAGAGGTATATCTGTCAGTGCCGAATCAAGGGTTTCTCAAGCACAATGCCTACTATTCTGGCCATGGGGGAGCTACTATCGGCCTAGGATAATAGGATTTAAATATTATTTAATGATCTATCATCTCTTTTGTTCGTGTACTGTAGCTTGTGTACTATACAGGAGATGGCAGAAAGTGATGAGTGTTTTGCAGCTATGATACGTCTCCCCATACAAAAACTGTCATCAAAACTGGCAACGCGCCGCCACAAAATACCCATCACTTTCCACCATGGCCTGTGCTCTTTATGGTACCTTTCATTATAGATATCTGAAAACCCGCGTATGCAAGTAGTGTTTTGGCTATGCTCTCTTCTTGCACCCTCCTCACCCAGACCGAGAGATTGCCGATCGCGACACTGGGGGTTACGCGCGTACAATGGCTAACTGACCACATTTATTAGATTTCCCAAGCGGCAACACCAATTGCCTCGCGAAGATTTATGGTCTCTCGCTAGCTCATAAACTGAAGGCCAATTGTGAAAAACTAATGAAATCCAGTCCAGAATTTGTCCGGGGGAGAGGTGAACGGAGAACTGCCATTTCGTAATTTCAATATCATTTCATCTATCCCAGCCGCACCGATCCGGTATATGGCTAGAATAAACATGAGTAGAGGGAGAAAAAAAATCCCCGAGCATGTACTAGGATATAGGGATAAATCGTGGAGTATCTATTATCTACCACCTACACTCTTATAACTTAGAACCCAGTTCATCATTGAAAATCACTCGTTATCCTGGTCATCGGTATCTACAACTCGTAAAAAAAAACTTATCAGGCAATACTGTATGATACTACTAATATATGAGTTCCGTAATCGGAGCTCCCTTCAAGGAAACACAAATCAAACGCGAAAACCAAGGTTAGACACCAAGTCCACCCTTTCCGGGTCATGAAGTTCGCCGCGCGCTCAACGAGGAGTGGTCAGTCAAACCTAATCTCAAGCTTTGCCATTAGCACATCCACGAGCCATTGTTTTGCTTGATAAAAGGCCCCATGTAACGTTTGTTGTTCGAGGGAAAATCTCTTTCTAAAACCTCCCGCGCCTAACCTCACCTAGAAACCCTTTCTAAGAAAATAGACCGAGGGCAAGTGTGACCGAATGACTGTGAAATTTTTCATAGAGGATAACGGAGCATGGTAATAGAAGGGAACTCTATATGGTAAAAAGATTAGAGAAACGTGTAGCTTCAGCCCTCAGCGAGGGGGGATGTATTCCAATCAAATCTATCTCGGGAGACGCCTTAAGTATCGTCTCATGATTACGTGTCCCGAGAATAATTAGGGATATGCGGTGCCCGACTCACGAAGAACACTGTGACGTGTCGTCTCCTCCATTTCGCAGTATTTGATGATCCATAGATCCCATCTCAGACGTTCAGAGACAACTACCTTCCAATGAAATTCAACCATCATTTTATGACGCAGCCCCCAAATCCCCCCACACACACCTCCAGCGGGTAGGCAAAGGTCTTGGTGATTGCTCCCTTTCACAGCTAAAATGGGCAAAACCCTCACTTTTCAATTGTTGGTATCTCTTCGAAAAATAGATCTCCCTTTTCCCAAATTCTTGACTCAAACTCATTTTATCTCAGTAATATCTCACTGTTAAATTGAAGTATACACACCACCAACTGAGGATTCCACGCTTGCAGTGTTCTACCATTGCCTAAAAATTATCATTATCACAAATTTACAAAGATAATTACTCCAGCAACCCCTCACAACAATATCCCAAGTTTTGATCAGCTATAACACGATGGGAAGCCACAGGACAATCTCCACACGCACACACGACTATTCGGATGGTTTCTAGAAATTTACATATCATACATAGGTTCAGTATAGGAGCCTGGTTAAAACCACTCCAAAATGACGATTTTTGGTGTATCATAAAGGTGTCCAATCACCAGGGCTTTTGCCCACCTGCTGTAGTGGTCGCCAATGTCATTGCCACCCCAAACTATCCAATATCCTGCCCAGGAACTATGATTCACATCATAAGAAACACAACTCGGGTTGACCAACTCTTGGAATCCCCGTTCTATCTTTGCCCAGGAGATCTCCTTGACTAATTCTGTCCAGATTCCCTCCGTGCTTGTGAATCAACTTCAACCCTAACAATCCAATGCATATCGGGTCTGATGTGTGATATGATTCACGGAAGAATATGATATGCCACAAATCATTTCTTAATAAGGGTTGAACTCGAAGGGAAGGCGTTCATTTTTATCCTCAACCATAGGCGAATGCCAGTGCTGCCCTCTGAGTAATGTAGGGAACTCCCTACAATGGGTTTCAAGCGGACAACACCCTCACATCCGATTGATCAACCACGATAAAGGTATCAACTCTTAGGAATCCTCGCTCAACCAGAAGAGCACCCGCTTGATAGCATTACCCGTCCGCCCCGAGAGCACACCCAGCGTTACTTAATACGATGAACCATTTTTCTTGCTAAATAAAATTCACTTCCATCAACCCCCGAGCTCTATACCTATAATTCATTATACGGCTCGATTATCTAAGTAGTGCCCGCCATAACCGAAGCACATTTCTATCGCAAAGTGTATTCCGGATACAGCGCTGTGAGCCATTCCCCTTGGACACGGATCAAGTTGCCCCTTACAAGATTGAAGTTGAAAATGAGCACGAGAACCTGTGTCTCAATGGGAAGCCCCACTCCTCTGTCCTCCATGCCCTTCAGACATTCTCACTCAACACCCCCACCCCAATCACCTATACCCATTATTTTTCTCTCTCGGTCTTTCCGGTTTTCACCCTGTTAATCCAGGCGAACTACCATGGGGAGGCTTGATGAGGGGTTCGAAACTTGCAATGACGTCCCGTTCTTATGGCGGGGAATTCTCCAACCGAGACACTCCAGTCCAGAAAAAAATGCCCAACTTCAAACTGCTAAGACTCAACGATTTTTGTTTATTCCCCTCTCTCAATTCTTTGATAGATAATAGGCTAAGGGTTCAAAAGATATTAAGGTATTGCACCCGCGCTAGTCGAGTACAGTACTCGTACAATCTAATCTGTCCTTGGCGTTTCGCAACGTGTCTAGATGCCTTAGCGCCAAGGCATCCCAATACTATGAATTTCCAAGTAATCAAATGCGTGGACCAATCTCGGATTAAAGTTTTGCCGCCCCACTATGCCTAGTAATGTCCTCGGATAAACTGCAAGATTCACCCCAAGTTCCCATCACGACACAATCAAACACCTATTCCCTCTACAACCTCCCCAAATCAGCACTCATGTTAAAACACATCCCTCCCCTGAGGGCTCATCTCCGCCATATACTCCCCAAGCGTGCACTCCACATCACCTCAATAAGCCGAGCCTTGTCGCCCTCTGACAAGCTATGGATTGCACCATCAGATGCGGACCCCTCCACACGAGACTACACACTTGCGTTCCGTGCCGCCCGTCTCCCAAAGCCAGCAACCGCTGAAACGCTTCCGCAGATATGCCGGAGCATAATCAACTCGAACCCGAACATCTCCGTTTCTTCCGCCGTCCGAAAGACAGTGGAGCGAGCGGGGTACACCTGGGAGAATTGCGGGAGCTGTGAAAAGAGTGAGTTAACAGTTGTTGCTATCTCTGAAGCGAGCTAGTAGTCAATCAGGTCGTCTCGGAAGCTGAAACGAGGTATATATAGCAACGCTTTCACCACGAGAACAGGATTCCAGAAAAGCGGAGGACGTCCCCGCACTGCTAGTCCTCCCATTCCCAATGGTCCCCGCAGGTCCCTCCTTCGCCGCAATACCGAGAAGGCAGATAAAAGGCACCTGCCGCGACCTCGCGGACCTAAGCTACCAATTCAACCCCTCCCTATCTTCACTCTCAACAATCGAGAGGGGGATATATGTCTCAACCCTGTGGAAACGCCTCCTCCCACTCTTCAAGGGAACCCTCCGCGCAAGCATACACAAGATTCTACCGGACGAGGAGCGAGAAGCACAGATTGAAAAGCTGGTACACAGGTTCGAAGTATCCGGGTGCCTAACTGTGGTGTTCATCCACGCGGAACTAACAGACGAGAACAGCCTTCCGCTAGTTTCCCGTGAAGTTGAAGGTTTGCTTACCCCCATTGCCTCCATCCCTTGTGCGAGTGCTTAATAGCAATAGAATGTGACTATATAAATGCCACAAACGGTCTCTGGTCACCCGTCCTGGCGATCCTGAGCAATGGTCTATCGTTTCAGTACTTTATCTACAATTCCATCACGGCGCCGACAAAGATTTCTGCATCGATGGTGTTCAACTGCCTTAGACTGCCACCGACCGAGACCGAGTTTGGAAAGGATACCGTGGAAGGGACGTTGCAGAGAATGTACTATGTGTTTCTGTGCGGGTATATCAACGGGATTAAGGCACAGATTCAGAGGATTTCGGTGGTTTATGGAGACGAGGAGGATAGGGCGGGTTGGGCGCTAAAGAAGGCGCTGGAAGAGGCGGAATGGGCTTTGGAAGCTTCCAAAGAGGCGATAGATGGCAATGCGAGTGCGGAGGAGGGGGTGGAGGCTTTGGCGAGAAGGTCGGTAGGCACTGGTACTCGATTAGAAGGTGAGTGTGCTAGGACGTTGGGTTCTCTTTTTTCCCGGCAAGGGAAAACACCGCAAACTCAGTCCTCAATTGGGGCAAAACAGGAGCGATATGCGCAGTGCCTGGCTAAGGAGAGACAACTCGAGTACAGCGTCCTGGCACACTTTATCTTCCATTAGAGTTGTTACAGTATAATATCTTGATCTACGGGGCTAACCCATGTATAGCGCGGATTATTTGCATAAAGTCAGCTCAAAACTGGGGGAAGCCAACCGCGGGTAAATCCCCACCAGGGACACCCAAGAGCAGTTCCGCACGAGCGAGTTCGAACACAAGTCATCACCGCCAACCTACCCTCCAATAACCTCCTGCAAAAAATAAGGCCTGTATCACATGACCATCCCCACTCTCTACTCATTCCTTTTCCTTCAGGAGAACAAAACATAGACAACAAAACACATGTATGATAGAGTACATTACAGGTACTCAATAAACCTCCATTCTAATCACCGTGCCGTATATTAAAACTCGTACCGCAACACCGGTATCAGAGTGCAAATACAATGCGATACCATCCGATACCGTACACACAATACGGTGCCCGAAAACAAGACAAGACTCTTCTTTTTCTTCACCAGTTGAGTGACTGTGCAACGACTGCCGTATTTCCAAATACTTATTTCGAGAAGCTTATTGCCAGTAACAGGCACGAACAATACGATATTTACGATACCAGCACAATACTCATGCTCAGACCTTACCTCTGCTCACGAGGCCAAGTCGAAGCCGGATACCAAAGGTGACAAATTCCCATATAAAGTGTCCATCCTGCTTCAACTCGGCCGCGCGAGTATCCCACCACAACAGGAATATTTACCCCCCACGGCAACAGCAAACAACTCGGGCGGGTATTACATATTGTAGGCGCAAACATACAAGGAAGATACGGTACGACCACTGCAACGGGCCGTCGCGTTACTCGTATACGGGAGCGTAAAATTAGCTTACGGTGATGAGACCAATGTGTTTTGCGAGCGGATATAATATAATAATTATTATCATACTTGTGTTATGATACCCGGTCGTTAGGAAGGGGATCACGTGCTAGAGGGGACGCTCTATCTTCATGAGTTCTTGCTCGGTGTGGAGCTCCTGGCGATTATGGAAGCCCGCGCGGAACCGGGAGCATTTTCCCCTCGTGTGAAGTAGTTATCCTGTTTCAAAGATTTATGGTTTTTTTTTCTTCTTTTTTTCTTTTTTTTCTCCGGGCTAGCTTAAATCTCTCCGGCAGCGCAGATTTGAATAAGAACCGTGCAGATCGATGGAATTGCTCGTGGAAATCACACATGTGCGAGCTTCGACTGCAGTCGGGATTTCGACAAAACTGAAGCACTTTTTTTTTTTTTTTTTTTTTTTAAGAAAATAAAATTAATGAAAAATAAAACTTTTATTCAGCGGTCAAGTAATTATCCAAACACATTAGCAAACCGACCCGGGAAAAACCGGTCCATCAACCCCCCACCATCTCAAAAACCCATTCAGACTCCAAACAACCTGTCCTCCACGCCTTACCATTACAGTGAGTTATTACGGGGAAGTCAGCCTACAGCTCGTCCGTCGAGAACTGAAAAGTGTATCCGTCGCAGACACAGCTACACCCCTTCCGAGAGGGACGAGGAGGAGTGTTTGTGGAAGGGGGAGTCGACCCTTCAGCACTTTTGGCGGGGGGCTGAGCACTCTTGGTTGCGGCTGGCGATTTCTCCAGGGTCACTGCGGTTCCGGAAGGCGCGATGCGGGTTGCCTGCGCAGCGTTTGTTGGCTGGGTAGTTTTGGGCAACTTTCCATATCCCGCGCCCGCTTGAACCGGCCCAGGTCCGGCCGGACCGCAATCCCCGATAGGGGGTGCCATCTTGGTGGATGATTTTTCGACATCGTTCCCGGGGTTGGGGAAAACCACGTCCTTACCCCCCTCGGTGGTGCATCCATTCCCGATGTTTGCCCGGAAGATATAAGGATATGACGCTCCCATCCCACTCCCACCGTTGGCGATGGTAACGGACGCACAATTCATATACATCTCTCTGTTCCCCTGATTGTTAAACCAAGTCCAGGCAAAGACCGCCGGACCATTCTTTGCCTCTTTGGGGACCGTGAAAGTGAATGCTTTGTCGGGGACGGGGCAACCACCAATGTATGACTTCATCACACGAAAGCTTTTTCCATTGTCCTCGGAGAGTGACGCTTGGCAACTGCCACCCATATGGCTTGCGCCCCCCTTGATGGTGAAGGATTGTGTGCTGCCCGCTTGCCATGTCGCCACAGAAGCCCCGGCGGCCCCTCCAAGGGCGGAGAGGTGACCCTTGCAGGGGTAATTTGAGCCGGATACGTCGAGGGGAGCGGCGTAGTTGTAGTCGATTGCTCCCGATTTTGCGTTCGGATTTTGTTGTTGGTTGAGTGCGAAGGGAGATATCATTTCCATGTGTCCATTGGCCAGAACGGGCAAGAGGGCGAGAAGGATAGTGAGGCGCATGGTGTAGGTACGGAGAGGGTATTTTTGTGGAGGGATATATATGCGATATTTTCCCGAGTTGAGAAACAGTTTGTGTGGTCTGTCGAGGGGAGGAGCTGTTGGTGGTTGGAAGATGGGAGAAGCTTGCGCTTTGGATATAGAGAAATTTTACGAAATTCTATAGTCGTAATGGAGAGGGCAACGAAATAGAAAAGCCCTCCAAGAACATGTTTGTCTAGGCTGGGGCCACTCATATTTCGTGAAGTTTGGCTAGGTGGTTTGAATTTTGATCGTGTGGACGTCACAAAATATCATTATTATGGAGGAACGACCCTACACGAGTACTGTACAGTACAACCCCACGATGGTTTTCCGGGTGATATCCCATGATGGAGTTGAACTCCGGGTGTCGCCCCCCCCTACCCCCTGCATCCACCCGGGGCGTGAAACCTCCTATTTATTCACTTCCGCCCAAAAGGCGAGCCTGATTATTCCATACCAGATCGGACCCCAACCCCGGAAGTGAGGTATCATATCATACTTGTATTATGATACCGTGCCGGTACGGTAGGGTACTCGCACCGTTCACACAACCGCAAACACTGTACAATAGTTAAAAAACTCAGCACAAGCGGTCACTCGCTCCGCCATGCAGCTTCAACAGGAAAGGCGATGGACTCCTGGCGACATTGGCGAACCAAAGGGATCGATCGAATTCCCTTCCAATTTCAAAAGTGAAGCTTTCGATGGAAAAAAGGGAAAGAAAAAAAGAAAAAAGCAGGAATCCTTCGTTGCGGAGAAGAAGAAGAAAAGTGATCAGTTTACCAGCGAAACTACAATATTCCGACTTTTTGTATGATACTCGTACTGTATCCAGAATGGCAAGTTGGCAATGCAGTACCGTAGACGTCATGGCCTTAAGCACCGGATTGGCTATGATAGAATACAGGTACCGGTATGATACGAGTAGAGTGAGAGAGGGAGAAGAAAAAGAAAAAAAAAGAAAAAAAAATAAATGTCGTCTAAAATTCCTGACTAGGGAAAGGTGGAGATGGGAGTGCGGAAATTAAGGTTTCAGGGGGAGCATGGGTCAAAGGTTATCTCTCTTATTTGGTCTTACACCGAATGCCGTTAGTATCGTAGTTGGGAGGTCTTATGCATTATTTATCCCCCACACATCGTCCCTACTGTAGAGTACTGCAGAGGTTACAGTACTGGTACTGTGAATACCGGTAGATGATTGATTACTACAAGTACTTGTGGATCTACGGTATCTTACAGTGACGGTCGGGCTGTGAAGGGAAATAAGCTCCCTGTTGGGTGTCCGGATGGAGGGATGCTCGTACACCGAATCGTTTCAAAACGGGCACGGTAGGGAAAGAAAGAGAGAGAAAAACGATTGTCCTGAATGAAAGTGCTTTACTTATTCCGCTAATTGAGAGCAAACCCCTTAGTCTGTTCTGTTGTGTGTACTAGGTACAGTACAACATTTTGGGGCTCGGTCGCTGTGGATAATTCTTTTTTTGTTTCTGTAGGTAATTTAGTTTTACGAGTACCATAACGAGCTGGGTAACAGAAGGTGCCCCCCCGCCCCTGCCTGGTTTTCCATGCAAAACACCAATTTCCAATGCGGTACTAGAGCACCCACCTGTCTAGCAACAGAGGATGGGAAGCATTCCATAATATATTTTTTTTAACTAATAATAGAACTAATAGAGAGTTTAGCCCAGATATTTCACGTAGTTGAATGTAGGAATTGTTTAACAACAACCGGGGGTGTGGTGTTCTGATAGGGGCGGCCAAAAACCACGCCAAAAAGTGGGCTAGCTTCATGTCTCTCTGTACTCGTACCAGTATAATATTTGGGACTGTTGATATTATAAGGTTGAAAATATTCACACTGCTAAACTCCCCACGGATGCCTCTCGTATTCTCAGAGAGGATTTGTTGTGGTTGTTCCTGGTACTTGTACTCGAAAATGGCGAATTTCGCATGGAAAACCCTGGGGGGCGTGTTTCTCCCGTTGCCAAGACGGTAAATTTGCAGCATATAGATAGAGCTAAGCGCGACACCTGTAATACGAGCCCGAGCCTACTTGTCAGCAAAAGTCAGCATCAATCATCACGCCTCTGACGACAGCATATCAATGTGAGCGGTTTTGGAAATCCCATGGAATCTGTTATCATCATCCTCCAAGACCTTTGGGCCTTCAGACGAGCATCAGCTTTGGGATAAGGTTTTGAACAACTTTGGTTCCCACAGAATGGTAAGCTGAAAAACCCCTCCACCCTGCATCTTGGTAGGTTGGATAGTGAGGTGTGACTGTACCGGTGTGGCACTGGAGCACAGTGCCGTGCTTTGGCCGTGCACGGGTGGGGGGCGAGTCGTTTGCACAGCAATCTTCTCGACGGGGACAGCCGTTAGGAGTAACCTACAGTCCGTACTGTACTCGTACCAGACCCGTACAGGTAAGGTACCGTACTGGTGCAAGCAATTTTATGCAATCCTTGTGACTCTCATCCCAGATGCGCTCAGCCTCAGGGGCAGGATGCATACAATATTATTGGCTCTCGGATGAAATGACGATTCTATTGTCCGGGTTCAAAGGTCTTGGACCGGGCTTAATATTCAGTCCTTTTTTTCTCCTTCTCCATAATGATACAAGTACCTTGCGGCACTCAGCTCGACGGTAGCGGATAGTTGCTTACTCCTGACACTGGGGGGCATTGTTCTGTACGGTAGATTGGAATACGAGTTAAAGAGGTGATGATGGTATGATAATAATCAATCCGTGCACATATTTCTTTCCTTCTCAATCAGTACAGTACTCGAGTACCGGTACCGGTCCCGGCATTGCCGCTGAGGATGGAGAGAGAGAAAAAGGAAGGGGGAAAGAGGTCCAAGTGCAACGTTGCACTGTCCTTCTCGACTTCACAACCACATCCCGGGCAGGACTCTGAGACAACGATGCCGAGTCTTCGTCAGGAACCTCCACCCATCAGCCATCTGCTCCTCCGTTATTGTCGTCTGCCTAGGCCCGTCTCTCTTCATCTCTACACACCATAACCATGGCTTGCTGAACCGAAAAGTATGGTGCTCTGGGTTATCTAATTTGGCGCGCTAGCCACTCAAACCAAGTCTTGGGCTCAGCGCTAACCTCTTGACGCAAACAATATTTTGCGGCGGTACTCGTGTGCCATTCACTGCCCTCGGTCGAATTGGATTGATCGGGGATGGTGATGGCCCTCAATGGAGGCACCAAATCGTATCATCTGTACGAGTGCCAGTACTCGTACTATCTCCAAGTTCTACTGGGAAATTACTTGTCATCCCGGCACGTACTGGCGCGGTACCGGTACTTGTACCTGCTTTTCTCCTTAGTGCTGGTATACCCTACGGTACCGTGTGGTTGTTGTGGTACAGTACTAGTACATTGGGATTCGGGCAAGCTGCCCTTGCTGAAAGAGGTTTGCTGGGGCTGATGGGGGGTGGGGTTTGCATTTTCACTGGAAAAAGGCTTGAGACACACACATTCTGGCATGTTGCAGCTGCCTATCCGGTCAATTTTCTATTGGCCACCAAAGCGAGTGCCTTCCCATAGATTGAGTTTGCTTCATTTTGCACCTTACCTGCAAGGGGTAAGGGTAATGGATCGTTGGTGATATCACAGCTTCTCCTTTTTATCCGCCGAATGGTATAGAGTTTCGGTCATAATATATAAGTTGACTGCTCTCCCGTCCCTCTCTACCTCTTCCTTCTTCCCCCACTATTCCATCGGTAGCCCGAAATCACTCTTTCTTTCCAGCTTCCGGTTGTCTATACCATAATCCCTCTTTTGAGGATAGTCATTCTTTTTTAAGTCTCTCTTTACAAATACCAAATTCACAATGATCTTTAATACCGTTACCTTCGCCGCTTTATTCGCCACTGCAGTCTCAGGGCTTGCTATCACCCCTACCGGCAATGCCGATACCTTGGCAAAGGCGATCCTCGGCTCCAGCCCTGGAATCAAGCTTGTCTCTGCCAGTTATTCTGGTTCTCCCGACAGCTCCGGTACCTACACCGATGGCCCTCAGGGAATCCGTAACGCTGCCGTTCTTACCAGCGGAGATGCCGTTGACACCATCATTGGACCCGGCTCCAGCGAGGATATTAGTAAGGCAAAGGGAACTGCGGGAAGCGCTCTTTGCAGTGCACTTGCTGGTGGTTCTTCTTCCTACGATGCTGCCGTTCTCACCATGAACGTCGAGCTCCTGTCTGGCTTTACAGGTTTCTTCACCGAGTTTATTTTCGCTTCAGAGGAGTACCCCGAGTGGGTTGGTTCCCAGTTCAACGATGTGATGGGTATCTACGTCGATGGTAAGCAGATTGCGTTCGATGACACGGGTGCTCCCATCACCATCAATGGTCCCTTCTTCATGAGCGACAAGGTCCTCGTCCCGCCCAGTTCGGGATCCAACTACGACGGGTCCACTCCTATCCTAAAGTCTGGTCATGTTGCCTCAACCGGAGCCCACAAGATCGAAATCGCCATCTGCGACATTGCCGATCGTCTCCGTGACAGCTCCGTATTCGTCACTCTTGGTGCATGTACTGGTGAGTGCAAGGAGGGGACGACTGTCTCTCCGTGTGCAGGAAAGGGTGGCGATTCCGACAACGATGGCATCTGCGATGATGTCGACAACTGTCCCGATGTTTTCAATCCCGACCAGAACCCAGCTTCTTGCGCTATGCATGGAACTGGAACCGGTGGATATAAAACTGGTGTCATCGGAACCGGTACTGGTGGTTACGGCCCTAGCATCACTACTCCCCCTAAGTACGGTAACACCACTGTTACTCCGACTTACGGTGTCGTCACTCCTCCTTGTGTCACTCTCACTTCGATGGTCACAAAGACTATCACCACTTGCACACAGAAGACCGTCTGCAACCCCACTGTTACCGTTGTGCCAGTCACCTATACTTCAACTCTTTCCTTGACTGTTACCACTCCTTGCTCGACCTACACTGTAAGTCTATCGTCCTCGCCCCATTCAGTTCCAACCTACTAATATAACCCGTCTGTTGCAGGTCACCAAGTGCCCCGGTGGACCCGACTCTCCTTGCCACACCTATACCAACACCGTTACTCTTGCCCCGGTGACCACCTATACCCACACAGCGGTTGTCACCAACACCCACAAGTGTCCTGGCGGACCGCACTGCCCAGTCACTCTCTCCACTGTCCAGACCTACCCTAGTGGAGCTAACTATACTGTTGCCCCGGTCTCCACTGTCACTTACAAGTGCCCCGGAGGACCCAACTGCCCAACTTCCGTCACAACCACCTATACCTGCCCGGGCGGACCTTACTGCCCAGTTGTCACCTACCCTCCCGGATGCCCCGGAGGTGCCAACTGCCCGACTTCGGTCATCGCCCCAGTTCCTCAGACCACATACGCCGCCGGCTGCCCAGGCGGACCCGGATGCCCACCCGTCGCTGGGGCTAACAAGACCATATCTAGCCTCCCCAAGTACACTGGTGCTGCCGGACGTGTTGGCGCTGGTGCCGCTGGTGTTGTCGGTGCCGTCGGTGCCTTTGCCGTCCTGCTGTTGTAAGGTGGTAGAGCTAAGTTGGTAATGATTTTCTGATTTGGAATTTGGCGTAGGGGTTTTGTAATGAGGATGAAGAAGCAGAGGAGGGGAATAATTATGTTCTGATAATCATTTTAAGAATTCTATTTAAGAAGACATTTTATTCCCTAGCTATCATCTAGAAGTTTATAGTTTTTTCTTTCTTTGTTACCCTAGACCATTTTCTTTCTATCCGGACCATTTTGATAATGCGGTGAAGTTGCCTAGTTCCATCCAAGGTGGGAAGGGCTTGGCCAACCCTACTGGCTTCAAGTGTTTTGCCAGGATAATAAATTAAGCCTTATCGAACCACATAGAACTTGCGTAACCGGCCATCTCCCCAAGCAATAAAAGGGGGGGTGCGTATCCAACAAACCATCGTATCATAATTATCATACTATCATACCTAGCTTTCTTCCCATAGATTCTATGCGCTTTACCCGACTCAACACCTCCTTGTCCCCTATCCCGTTCCCTCGCCCACACAATTCCCCCTCTTGGCCATCGCTTATTTCACTCCTAGCTGAGCGGGTACAATATGCATCGAGTGAGCACGAGTGATGTGATCTCCTGTGCCGCACGTGTTGACTTATTTCTTAGCATTCAGGTACTCGTACTCGTACAGCCGCACCCCGCTACTCGAGAGATGTCTAAGATCCCTTCCCTGGATTTAAGGGGGCGGGGCAGAGCGAGAAAAAAAAAAAAGAAGCTATCATAGTTTTCAGCTCCATATTATTATATATAGGGTAAATAAAGGGAAAGTCTAAAAAAGCCTCGCCAGGAAATGAAACTCCAAAGTCCTAGCGCGCCGCCTAATTATTCGGGCTCTTACGGTATCTCATGTTGTAGAAGTGAGTATCATATCACGAACTTGCTTCCTCGGGTACTCTCTGCTGCACCCGAAATTTCGGCCATCCGGGTGATTATTGGTTTTTTCTTCTTTTCTTCTCCTTTTTCGGCTGGGCTCCTCCTTCTTTGTAGATTTACCGGGTATTTGGTGGCGGTCTTGGCGGTTTTGAATTGTTTGTATCCCTTTTGTAGGATACCTTTTCGGGCACTTGAACTGCCGGTAGCAGCGTTACTTATTGTACGAGTATCGGTACCCTTCGCCATTTATGGTTATAGTAAGTTTCCCCGCACAAATCGCCTTTTGCGCCATCAAAAGTGCGAAATCCAGGGACCAGACGAAAGGATGAAAGGATGGGATGGATGGAGTGATGCTAGGTACCATTCAACCCGTAGAGTACAGTACGAGTATTTTGTGATGCGTGATGTGAGATGAGGATGAGGGAGGGGGGGGGGTTCGGTTGGGTGGCTATCAGGTTGTCATCGTTTCCCCCCCCCCTTTTTTTTTTCGCTTGGAAAAGATTGGGTTTTGGAGGTGTGGGGATGTGAATATCATAATTGGCTGGCTATGCGATACACAATACCAGTGGTCATTCAGGGGGATAGATAGATACCGGCCGGTATCATAGGTAAGGAGAAAGTGGATCAGAGAAGGAGCGCTAGCCGTTTTCTAAAGTCTCTGGCATGTGGGTTACATATCCTTGGTGCTCGGGTTGTGTTGTGGTATTTTCCCACGAGATCTGGAGCTTGTGAAGCGGTCATGCACAGGCACTCGAGTATATCAATAAATCTTTTATTTACATGCCATTCCGGAGTAGTTGCTGGAAATTATAAGTCAAATACCTTCGTACGGACTACGGAGGTGGAGCCCCTAAGTTTTCGATATTTGGCTAGCAGGGGATATCAAGTCAGCAGGGATAGGTAGCCTAAACAGGATATTGTGGCGTTGAGGATACAGGAATAAAGGTGAAGACTATGTGCAAATTTTTTCCATCCATTTTCATTCATGAAAATGTCAATTCTGAATGCCTAAAACATGAAATCCTTCCATCTCACCCGTAACCAGAGACGGGACTGCCAGCTTTTGCGTTCAATCGGTTGGAAATACGCTCAAATTCAGGAAAAGACAGGATATTCCTGGCACCAAGTTCAGTACGCTTGCACCTCTCCAGCTACTCCTTCAAAAAGACCAGGTCGTCCTCCTATTCTCACCCAAGCTCAAATCGAGGAGCTTATCGAGTATGTGTGCATGTCTTCCCGTAATCGTCGTCTGTCCTTTCAACAACTTGCTACCAAGTTGGAATTTGGAGTTGGCAAGAAGGCTATTCGCACAGCATTGATTAAGGAGGAGTTTCATTGATGCCTAGTGATGAGAAACCTCCTATTACGGAACGGAATCGGGTGATAAGGTTATAGTGGGCTTTGGACCATGTAACTTGGACGATGGAACAGTGGTATGAGATTTTATGGACGGATAAAACCTGGATAACAGGTGGAAGACATACGTGAATGTGGGTTACGAGATGTGTTGGTGAGGAGTGGAACCCAACATGTACTGTGGAGAAACATCTTAGAAAGAAGGGGTGGATGTTTTGGGGCTGTTTCCATGGGGATACACAGGGACCTGGGATCTTTTGGGAGAAGGACTGGGGGACGATAAATTCAGAAAGCTATCGTGCACACACTGTTCCTGTAATTCATGGATACATGGAATTGTGTCGTCGCGATGGTATTTCATTAAAACTCATGCAAGATGGAGCACCCGGCCATTCGGCAGCAGATACAGCCACTGATCTTCGTGAACGTGGAATTCACGTTATTTACTGGCCTCCGTTCTCTCCAGATTTAAACCCAATTGAACAGGTATGGCACATAATGAAAAATTATCTTCAAGATAATTTTCCAGAGATTATGAGTTATAATAGACTACGGAAGGCAGTAAAGCAAGCTTGGGATCAGGTTGGACAACATGAATTTAGGGAACTGGTAGGAAGTATGCCTGCAAGATGCCAGGCAGTTATCGATGCAAACGGGCTTTTTACACAATATTAGATATATATTGTACTTAGTTTTGAATTTCAAAATCATTGACAGGCTCTGGGTCAGGTATCTCCAAGATCTTGTTGTACCAAGACCGATCTCAACCTACTATACCCCATTTGACAACTTTACCCCTGGCTTGCTCAACCCCCCCTGCTAGCCAAATATCGAAAACTTAGGGGCTCCACCTCCGTATGTCGCCTTTCACAATTATCATAGCTCCCTAGAGCGTTTCGAGACTGGGAATGGTGAACTTTAGGTGTGGTAATCTTTGAACGCAGACCTTTTCCACGTCAGGTCACAAGGAAGTTCTTGTGCTAGGCGATAAGCACTATTCTTGCGCACAGACATTAGCCCCCCCCCGGTTTTCCCAATACTCGTACTGCACTTTACCCCTGACCCGAGCATTGAACCTACCGGTACTGTACTACGGTACTCGTAGACGATGAATGCCTTGGGTCAGCAACCGTCAATACGAGGAAGGCCACTGTGCTAGTATGATACCGAGCGAGACCGACAGACATTTGACCTTTACACCGATTGTAATCATGAGATATCACTCAACTTTCCTGATTTGTGATAATTTTCATGTCTAAATAACTGCTGGGTTTAGTTTTATTTTTTGAAATTCGCCCTGCGGTACTCATGCTCACACTCTTCCTGAGCAAAGTACTCGAGTACCAAGTGCTCGCTTATGGGCTTGTTTGTGTATATAGAGTGGAGTAGGATACCGGTATTGTGTCTTCGTTTGCTAGTGCTGCAGCAGCTACGGGTACGACACCAGTCTCGTCTCACTCCCCCCTTCCCCTCCCTTCGGAGGCCACACAAGAACTGACAAACCAACCAATGGTTGAAACTTCTACCACTATATCATGTCACATGTAAACACTACGCGGTGGTAAGTCTCAGGACTTTAATCCTCTCCGTGGGAACTGTGCATTTCCATCATATCATACCGGTATCCTTAAACTGCACGTGTAAGACCCTAGAGGTTATGAATGAATATGCAGTAGTAATTGCCTCCGAGGTTGAAACTGGTAGAGAGAAGTTTTACTACTGGTTCAATAAATTTATCAAGGTATTCACAGAGACAGGGGCCGCATACGATGTTGGATATTTGAGTGGAATTCCAATTCCGGTTACACATGCCTATTGGCAATTCATGAAGTATTCTGCTAGTAAAGTCTCCCAAGCTGTGGTAAAAAAAATAGTTGCAAATATTTTTCAGGTCTGATAGTTTCTGCAGTTACCCAGTTCTGAATAGCTGCTAATACCTGCACTTTAGATTTGCAGCTATAGGAATACCCAGTATTACACTAGTATGATAGATTGAACTAGGATTTGGTTCCTGGAAATCCTGATAGCCATAATAGTTTCTTATGTGCTGTTTTCCTTTGTTTCTGCTCCTGTCCCACATCTGTATTTCTTTAATCCAAGTATATATATTCCATGGTGACTTTCCCACTATGGATAATGTTTTTCTACCAAACAAAGCAGATTCAAAGTAACCAGAATATGCAGAGAAATGAACAATTAGGATTTTTAGTGAATAGAACAATATAGAACAAAGGAAGCTGTGCCAACAGGTTTCTATTTTTATGTAAAAGTAATATAACTTTATGTATTTAGTAAGCTAAAATCTTCCTACAATAATCATGATCAAGTATTATATCCTATAAACAGAACTAAGTTTAAAGACTCCTTGACAACAATCAAACTTCATTTCCAATTTCAATAGAAAGTTGAAAGTATAGATATGTCTGATATTATAAGAAAGAGAGCTACTAGTTGTTAAAATAAATTTGAACATGTAATGGAAACGAAAGATAGATTTTCGTAAAATAAATGAAAATATCAGGAAGAACAATTGTTTTTCACAACTACATATGCAATGGTTCCTGGTTGAGCTTCTCTACTATTAGATTTCCTGTATGTTATTTTTGATAGCAATAATATGAGATTATAACTATGATTTGTGATCAAGAGGTTAGTAGGTAAATAACAGAGGATTGGTAAATTGTATGATATGTCTTTACAAGTAAGATAAAAGCTAAAGTACAGGATTGGTGAAGAAATAAAATGGTACTGAGATATGTATGTGTGAAGATCATAGTGATCAGATGAGATAAGACCTATTTGATATGTCATAACAAGGAAAGAAGGATCAATTGAGTAATTACTTAGCTCTGATGTACTAAAAGGAGCCTGCTTCTGCTTAATTTTAGAACA